ACATATATGTATATCTATCCTCCCCTGTCCTCCATCCCCCTTTTATCTAACTCTGTACTTCATACCTCATCTGGCGACCATACTCTCCCTCAAAGTATTCAAAGTCACAGTAAAAAAAAGAAGAAGGACTGAATTTCTCCCAACCTATAGAGATACAGACGCCGAGACAGCAAAGGTTCTGGACAAAAAAAAAGTACCACCATTCAGGGCGTCATGTCGGTAAGAGAGACTGTGGGAAACAGGCTAGAGCGGAACACATTCTGTTTTTAACCCTTGTCGCCCCGCTAAAAAGTGACACGAGTGGGAAAGGGCTCGTTTATTTTTGTTGTCTCGGAGTTAAAAAGTTGGGAGAGTGCTCAATTAACCCCACGCGGGCTCGTGTTCGTTCACAGGCGTCGCGGTTTGTGCAAGTTGCCGAACCTGAACGCTTCCCGCTTACTTAAGGCAGTGGGCTCGGGATGATGTAGATCTACTCAATTCCTCTACTCCAAGCAATAAGATATATATATTCATTATATATATATTGTCCAGGTCCTGGCACATTGGTTTGGTGTTTCACCACGTATACACATACGCACACACACGCACGAACACACATACACGCACACAAACACACACACACACACGCTCACTCACACACATACACACAAACATACACACACACTCACACACACACACGCACAAACATGCACACACAGGCAAGCTTACAGTCACACGCATTATATAAATGAACAGCAGTAGTATTATCTATAATCATCTTGAGCGAGATAAAACGAGAGGGCCGAAATCAAATTCTGTTACTGTCTGAGAAAGCTGAAAGTTACTTTGGTCTCGTATTTAATAGCACATACTACACGTTAATGATTGATATCCACCTCCTATCGATGATATTGAAAACCTATCTACTGTCGCAAAAGATTATTTTTGAAAGTTGTCACAGTATTTTGAACCGAGTTTCGTGCACCACTGCAAAGTATCGTTTGTATCGAGCTTCTTGTGTGCTTCTATGAGAAGAAAAAGAAAGCAAAAGGAAACAAAAACAGATTCGTTGGGTTTTTGGTTTTTTAAATTTGGTTTTGCTTTGGTTTTTTGGTTTTTGGTTTTTAAATATGAGTATGCTTTTACGTTAGAAGTTCTAATGAACTTGTTATTTCTAACCGGACTAAACTGTAACTTACATGGAAAATTGCCGAGAAATGCGTTAGATATAATTTTCCCCAGTCGTAAGCTGTAGGTCGAGCATTGCTTCATTGAAAGTACGTGTAGACTGTTTTTTCGTTAAGAACGCACTTCAGCCAGTAGCTGTCGGGGGAGCAGTATGTAATCGGAAACATGAAAGGAAAACTAAAATTGGTCCAGACTGTTCTATTTTGAAAAATATTATGTAACAGTCTGTGAACTTTTCGATTGTTGTTTGATGTTCTCCTCTGAGTTCTTGGTTACTTGGAGAATGGGTATTATAGCAGGTGGTACAACTCCATATCTGCTCCTTCCTCCTCTCCGGGATCCATGAAAGGGTTGGTGTGCTGATCGTGCCAGTCATCAGCTAGTTTGACATTCTTCTGGCTTCTTGGTATCTATCTCATGCCACCCCCCTCCCCCTGTAATAGAGGAAAAGAAAAAATGATTCCTCCCTTCCTCGGCTTCCCTTCTCTGACTCCATTCTATCAATTGTTCCCATGCTTTCTCTCTCTCTCTCTCTCTCTCTCTCTCTCTCTCTCTCTCTCTCTCTCTCTCTCCATTATTACTAGAAGTATTGTCACAGGCAGAAGAAGTGCAGGAAAAGGTTCTAGATAAACTTTTCCTTTTCGGCAACACATGCCCTTAGCTTCTGCTTTAAATTTCGTTGCATGACAATGCTGGTATTGAAAATTGACCCCCCCCCCCCAGTGTATGTCTCATTTTTAAAATTGCCTATACTGTACTGCACACACACAGTCCTTACTGCTGTGAAAGGTATGGATGACATTGCTTTACCTATTAAAGAGATTTTTGAGGATAAGTTGCGCCACGTATTTTTGACCGCACTACAAGTATTAGGTGCTGGTCTGACTGACTCTCCTTAGTCAAACTTGTCACACTGCCTGCTCAGCCTTGGACCCACCTGTCTACAGGATTCTCTATGGGTTTTGAAAAAATATTGGGGCTAAAATAACCTCCAGATCTCGATCAACTAGTTTGTATGAAACTAGCTCATGTAAGTTTTCTTAACAACAATACCCTCATCCCCCGTAAAGAAATAAAAAAATAAATACATAAAGAAAGAAAGAAAGGCATAAAGACAGAAAGAAAAAAAGAAAGAAAGAAATCAGAAATTGTTTATCACATACGCATGCCCTCTAGATACCACCTTCTCTCCCCTCCCCAAAATAGATTTACTATTTGAATGAAAAATCGTTATCCTTTTTACATTGCCAGATAGTAAGGTAGGCTACCACTCACAAGCGCATATGTTTTAGTTGCTCGAACCCAGTAAACAACTGTGCCTGTCCTCTACAGCTGATGGGTCAAATGAGTTTCCTGCAACAATTGATGGATTTCCCCAAAGACACCATCACCGCAGAGATGGTAGAACTGATGGAGCCTTACACACGCATGGAGGACTATACCTTCGAGTCTGCTCTAAAGGTACACCGTTCTCTCTCTCTCTATCTCTCTCTCTCTCTCTCTCTCTCTCTCTCTCTCTCTCTCTCTCTCTCTCTCTCG